CTGTTTTTATCTGCTCATTTCTCATTTTGAAAAGTTCTCAGCTTGACTCTCACGTTTGCCGTGATCGCTCCACAATCTTTACATCGAATGAAACCCTCTTTTGGGTATTTTATGTTTATAGATCGTTTTCACTGTCACGCAACAAAAAATATAAATTGGAATCCGTCCAGTGGAAAGGGCCAAGAAAACGAAATGTTATAAAAGACTAATATATAAACAATTTGTCTCAGACCTTTGTGGCCCACAGTTTCTGAGTTATTTGCCGAAACGTTTCACGCACCTTTGTAGAACTTTGTATGGAGACGCCATATTGCTATACCGTTTTGGTGCATTAATATGGCCGCCGGAAATTAACAAAAACATCTGGAGCTCACTTTTTCTATAAAAGCTATTTCTTTTCACTCACGAACTAGCATACGCACCCATCTCCTTATACTTGAAAATAACATCACGACTTAACTGACAGACGGCCAATAACATCGCGACGTCATTGACCAATTAGATCAATAACCAGAGTATAATACCATCGACTGACGTGATACAACTCACTTTGACTCTGAAGATGACTACCGCACAGGTTGTCGAAACATCAGTTACTGTCAACAACAACAGTCCTATTCAGGTCTACGTTCACCAGGACAATCAAACTCAACCTACTGTTGATTTATTTTTTGTTTATCTTCAACCTTGAATGAATAAGAATTCGTAAAACGTCGCTTTGACTTTACAATTTGATGACGTCACTGTGAAAACTATCTATAGGGATCTGGTGATCGCATATTGGACAAATCTTGTAATGATATGTATATCAATCATGCCAAGAGCATTTTGGATATTTCAGGACATTTCACCGCCAACCAAGTTGACGTTGTTGCAAACTGGCTGCTCAACAAATTAACATGACGCTTTTATTTCTCCTTTAGAGGCAACAAAAATTATCCTAGAAGAACCATGATCGGTGTCTCATTCTCGGAATTTTTCATTTTCTAAACTCAAGAAAACTTCAGAAAATTTGTTTATTTTAATGGCAAACTTAAAAGGTAAACATGTTAATTTATGATGGTGAAACTGAGGTGAAAAATAGCTTCCCGAAAACCGTTTATCGTAGTGAACACCTGTGCTTTTTAACAAAACTGACAAAAGATCTGTTTAGCATCTAAGCTACTATTTAATATTCAATCTGCAGATAAATAGTTAAGCTCGTTTTTGGACACCATGAGCAATTTTGAACTATATTTCGTTGCAAGATCTTTTCGTATAGTATCAATTTTCGTACAGGAAAATAAAAAGCGACGAAAAAGTCTCAAAAAGAACATGTTTCTTAAATAGTGGGGCAGATATGTGCAGATTTGGGGCCGGATTGTTCACTTTTTGTTAAAAGCACCAAATTTTCAGGAATGACAGAACTAATTATGACTATTAATATGTGATATGGTGCCATCGCAAATTTTTCCTGTCAAACTGGTTTTTGGAGTGAAAATTAAACTGGCCGCCATTTTGACCGGAAGTAAATATCATCTAACCGAAAGTACACAAAATTAAGCATTTTTTAAGCCAAAATAACGATGAAATTGTTTATTATATAAACTAATCGTGGCTATTAATATGTGATGTGGTGCCATTGCAAATTTTTCCTGTTAAACCGGCTTTTGGAGTTATTACTAAAATGGCAGCCATTTTGACCGGAAGTAAATATCACCTAACCGAAAGTACACGAAATTTAGCATGTTAAGGTCAAAATGACGACAAAATTGCTTGTTCTATGTTTTTCCGGAAATTTATGTCATATAAAAAAGTCAACCGTGTTACAAATTAGCGGTTTAAATGAAAGAACCGGAGGTAAAAGCGGGCCAAAATGGAAAATGCAACTCATTCAAAGCAATTCATTTCAGTAGTGAATTTAAAACAAACGTGAAACAATGATTCACATTTTTAAGCATAGGAAAGGCCAAACATACGAACAAATTAAATAAACAAGCAAAAAACAAATTATTTCTTTTTACTTGGTTTAACCCTTTAAGTCCCAATGGTGACCAACATCAATTTTCTTCTGACTCACAATATCCCCTGATACAAGGTCAAGAGATTAGGTTCTTAGAATTAATAAAATTATCACCTAAGAGAAAATGCTTTGATCTTTTATCAAATTCTCTCAACTTATCCTTTTAAGGAAATGTATAGGGACCAGTTTGAAGAACTTGTAAGGGTTAAAAGAGTTGATCCACTATTAACTAGAATGCAGAATGCTTTGCGGTTTTCAAAGTAATTTGAGGTATAATAGCTCCACCATTTTGTGTTATTGAGGAGTATAAATAATACTCTGTGCATGTACATATTGGATTGAAATTGCTTTCACGATAACGTCTGCTCATTTCAAAGTTTACCATTTTCAAAAAGTTTCTGGGAAATCCGTTTGGAAGGTAAATGGGTCCCCTACTCAGCCTACTCTTTACAAACAGTGTCTGGGTTCTTTAACTTCCCACAGCATATTATATGAACAAGGACCGTGAGAAGGGGCCTACAGGTTTTTTTTTATTCCAGTAAGACTAGAAAGTCTAACCGTTTGCAGATGACATTAAAAAGGCAGCTCTTCTCGTCAGTTATTTAAAGATCCTGATCGACAATTGGTCTGGCCGGGGTGTGAAACCGCGGCTTCCCGCTCAGTAGACCGGTGTTTCATCCACCTGGAGCTAACCGGGCGGCGGTTTAATTCAGCTGTATTTCACTATCAAGTGAATCTGCGCCTCTCTCGACAGAAGTGAGAGTTAAGTCTCTAATCTTCAATGTAACCACCCCCAGAATGCCATTTAATCATCATGGACTGAGCAGCACTGACTATCATGCTAAAGTCCACATGCAAGAAAATAAGGAAAAAGCGTTTTCCGAATCTGCATCACTTACGTTAAAGCCCTGAGCATGTAAAACGTATTCTCTTGGATATAGTATGTGAAAAATATGTCGCGCCGAGAACAGCTTGAAGACTAAGATCTGGGGTAAACGTGAATCAGGAGCTATACTAAGAAACTGGAAAAAGCTAGTTCTTTTGTAAAGATCGAAACAAGCAGGTGCTTTTTAGATTCCTTGCACCTTGAGCAACGCATGTCGTCTAGGGCCAGACGTCCAGTCTTTTCCCTGCATCGTTTGAAGTCAATTCGCTAGAAAGCATTTATTGTTATGCTATATCACAAAGCAGATTCCCTTCTTTTAACTCTCTATATGTTGTTTGTGTCCGAGACATTTTCGTTGAGTCGACTCTCCGTTCTAACTACCCATGAAGCTTCTCTACCATGAAGTCAAGTTAGCTTCCTTATCATATATCTTGGTACTAATGTACATCTACGCTACCTTGCAGCCTACGAGATTGCTAACGTGTTTACTAAAAAAGTTGCACTTTCACTTCCTCCGTTCCATGCATTTACAGGATGTGTCAAGATTAATACTTCCGGTCACCTCCAGAAATAATCGGAGTTGTTTTCGCTTACACGTTCGGTAGAAAAAGTAGTTCTTTACCGTCAACTGACGAAGCCAAAAGTAGTTTCTTTGACCCGGCCTGCATTATTTAAACATTTCAAGGGCACGGCGAACCATGCTGGCCACATATGGAGTCAGCAGGCACTGGTACCAAGCATCTCGGTTCCTAGTCTGCAAGATTGGGGCTGGATATCTCTGAGAGGAGAGTGGTGACTCTCCTGTTGAGGGTGGAACTAGTAAAGTACGCTCGTAAGAAGGGCTATGCCCAGAAGAGTGACAATCGTGAAAGGCGATCCCCAAATCTTTTTTCGATTACAAGCACTCGCCTGGATGAAGTATCAAGTCATTAGGTCACTGAGATATCATTTGTTCTTCTTCGATATTCTGTATCATAGCCAAAGTAGGCTCAAGTTTAGTAATGGATTATACGTGATGAAAAGAACACTAGCAGGCACAACAGAATTTTAAGCTCATTCCTTAAAAGTTCCGACTTAGACTACGAGCAGTCTCTCTTTTTTCTGTAGTCCGTCGAGCAAAACGCGAGACACGCAAATGGCCATAAACCTGAAGAAAAAGAGAGACTGCTTGCAGTCTAGTTCCGACCCTGGTAGTTTTACTTCCGGTCTAGCTGGCGGCCACTTATATCATCTCTATTCTACTTTTTAGACAATTTGCGTTGAAATAATATCTCTTTGCATGAAAAACAGCTGCCTTAGGCATTTGCTGACATTTTCTTATCCATGTTGCTAAAATTCAGACGTTTTAAAGAAAATGTTAATTTCACTTCCGGTTCAAAATGGCCGCCATAATAAAAAGTCTTATTTTTCGCACTTAACGGATTCTTTGGAGATGGCACCATATCCTATCTTTTTTAGGGCCTTGAAAACTATCATCATGCCAAATTTCATGCTTTTAACAGAAAGTGAACAATTGAAGCACATATCTGCTCTACTAAAAATCATACAATGGACTGTTTCGTAAGTAATTACTTAGCTGCGAAAATAATATTCTGACGTGAAGTTGTCGAAGACCCTGCTTGTGTTTAAGTTAACAAGGCGGTTTCATTATTCCCGAAGCAATTCACAAAATTGGTTTCTTTGAGTAAGAATTAACCCTGGACTATGAACATGTTAATTTTCTGAGCTGTCTTTTATTGTTTTTTAGCTCAAGCTGGGCCAAAATTAACTTTTTTTTCTGTTCGACTGGTAAAACAGCAGACCAGGATAAATATCGAGACAATGGCTGGTTTGTTTTTTTGTCAAAATCCTTGCAACAGAGTCGAAAGTCAGAGGGGAATCAAGGAAATAAGACACTTGCATTGCTTTGCACATGCGCTTTTATCAGGAACCGCCCATTTCAATTAAGGTATAAAGATAGAATTCCCGGATGGGGGAAGCAACATTTTAATTTTTAATTTCTTTCTACATTTTCCCGTTACGAGCCTACAAAGGTTATTAGCCGGGAGGGAAGGAAAGTGACTTCTAAGTATCTACAAGTTTTAAGGTCCACGAGATAAGAAGAAAAACATAATGAGGCTAAAAACACAGTTGGTAGTTTTCTTGTTAGTCCTGTCCGTTGGCTTTTCGGCGTCCTTGGAAGAATTTCTTGATGTGAGTCTTTTGGATGAAAGTCAAGATAACCGACGTGTTTCAGTTCCTTTCTTGGAACCTCCAGACTCGGTGGTTATCTCCTGGATGGAGAAGCCGCCTTATGTCATGCTTGACGAAGAGCCATTAGAAAAGAGCGAAAACCGAACAAGATTGGCCTCGTCACAGCCAGGAGAAGCAATGAACGCAACGAACAATAACAGTGGTATAAACCAAGAAAGCGTGCAGGGCTCCTCGCCTGGATTCAGAGTGAAAGGTATCTTTCAAGAAGTTGTGTCCAAGGGACTTCAGATTTGCGTTAGAATACCCGTTACTAAAATCAACTTCAGGAAAAAAGCTGGTAATCTACAACAGCTTGATAAAACCATTGTAAACAAGGAAGCTGATCTGGCGCTTCCTGTGCAAGGAAGCGAAGATGGTTCTTACGGAGGGCATACGTACGTGGAGGTCTTGAAATCGCCAGGTGTTGTTTTCATAGTGGACAAACAGCAAACATTAAGACATTTACGAAAGCGCGTGTTACAAGCCATGAAAGATACCTGGCCTGTTATTATTTTAACCTTTTTTTTGGCAGGATTTGCCGGGATTTTGATCTGGGGACTAGTAAGTGTGTATATATTCAATAACTTAAGAGAAATTTTGCTTACTTAGATAAACGGAAGGTAAATATGTTAATTTGTTGTTGTGTTTTGTTGTTGGACACTTGCGTTTTGTGACAGCGGCTGGATGACTTGTCAAAATCGGCTATTCTATATTTAGCAATTAATGAATTCGCCTTTCGTAGGATATGAAGAATTATTACATGGTTGAGTCTGTTTTCGCCATGCGATTGGTCAATTTGAAGTCTGTAACTTGCTTTACGGACCAAAATGTCAAAGAAAATGCTCATTACGGAGCTCTTAATCTCTTTACGTCGAAAAAAAGGTTTAAATAAAGTTATAAGACGTCTGTCAACCTTGAGGACTTGGATGTTGACTTTGTCCTTCAACATTTTAAACTGAGTTTATTTGCGAACGAAGACGATGAAGAATTTAACTCGTAATCTTATCGAAGAGGATTCTAGTCAGTGTTTGAAAATTTTATCGTTGTACACAGTTAAGACGAAAATCGACTGGCAGAAATTCGAGACGTTTTCCCCCAAAAAGTTAACGAGCGAATCCTTCGACAATGACAACAAACTTACCTTGAAAACCTTCTTTGCCTTTTGCAGTGTTTTTTGTTACGAGGACCAACGGAGGAAAGATGGAAACGACTTCGCGACAGACACAGTGTCTGCGGGTTTCCAAACTACTCCAGAGCTAAAAAGAGCAAAAACTTACAGTGCTCTTAGTTTTGACCGAATAAACTTTTTCAAAATGGCGAATTTGTTTTCACTTTCTCGGAAGCTCTTTGTTATGTGCTATTGTTTTCGTGAGCCAATAAAAACGTTTTTTTTTACGCCTGTCAAATGACTGTCAAATCGCGCGTTCTGAACTTGTTTCCGGTCCCCCAAACTGGAAGAAGCCATATAATAAACATCTTGTTACAGTACGGACCGAAAACTCGGCTAACAAGAGGTACCGTAAAATTCCGAAAATAAACCCCGGAGCTTACATTTTTCAAAGGCCCTTTTTGAGGAGCCTTCGGCCACGGTGGATAACACTCTCCTCGATTAGTATAATTCTTCATTCGAATGAAGCCGAATTCATTGATTGCCTTACTATTCATTCAAAATATTTCCTCGTTTAAATCAAGCCAAAACGCGCTTACCTTCGTCCATGTTTATAAGTTCACCTCCATAGTGCATGTTTCCTGAAGATATAGGGCTGTTCAGGTCTGCAAATATACTCCAAATAGCAGATGTTGTCAGTCGAGTTGTCTTCTAGCTATGTTTTTAGACAATAGGTCGTCGTGAAACGAGTAAACTGTTCCGCCATTTTTGTTTCGACAAACAAAACAACTCAATCTCGTCCCCAGTCTTCTCGGCTAACGGTGCATTAATCTGCAACTGTGCTGCACTTTGACGTCATCGGTTGATTAATCACAAGGAAATTCTTCCAAATTTGGTCAACAGTAGCTGGTTGTGGTGAATCATGGGTGTGCTTTTAGCTAATCAGAAACGAAGAAATATTTTGAATGAATAATAAAGACATTTATTAAATTTTATTTTCTTGGAGATCAAAAACTAAGGCGACAGACATTAAGAAGAAATCATTTACAGGGGTTGAATAAATAATTCTGGATTTAGATTAAGCTTTCAGTTCGCCGACTTCCTGACTGGGAATCTAAATCGATTATAATGGGCCTTAAAGAGCCTCCTTTGAAGTTGGGTCCATGTTATGATTTAGCCGCTATTATCAGTCATACTTAACAACGAAACCACAAATGTCAACAGTAGCGAGCCAGGGGCAACTTCAACGAAGAGTTCTCTTTTTTTAAGCCCTTCGTATTGACAAACTGAGAGAGATATGCGAAAACTGAGCAATAACGGAAATTATTGCTATTTTCACTGAATTGAACACTAATACGTGACCAATATCGTGGTGTCCTATTCTTTTTGCTTAACCTTAGGGTCAAAAACGCTTTTCGAGCGTTTGAAAAGAGAAAGGTGCAGACTTGTCGGTGCCACTTGATTCGGTTTAGTTCAGTCCCCTTTTTTAACGCATATTTTCCATTTCACCTGTTGAATTAATACGTTATTATGGTAATAGCCTGAAAACGTACATGTGCTGAAAGTTCTGATCACTTATTTTCCTGAGTGTCAAAAAAAAGTTTGTTCCATCTAAAAATTACAATGTTTTAAATCTGTTTGAATCACCTTTTTACAACACTAATTGCTTTACGTTTTCAATATTTCTTTTTAAATTTCAAATATTTCTTGGTACTCTCCTCCCTCTTCAATACTTCCGTTTGTCATACATCAATCTCCAGACCGATATTGCTCGTAGACCTCGTACCCTCCAAAAAATCATCCATCTTAAAAAAAACGGTATTTTGTTCATGGAACACATATTAGCAAGAACTTACATTGTATCTCTAACAGGATTATTGAAAAGGTAAGCGCCAAATAGACCTCTTCGATCAAGCAGTAGCCAATACAAAAACTAAAGTGGTAATACAAAAACTAAGAGTGCAACAATTATTTTTTTCCTTTCTCCTTCTTTCTCTCTCCTTCTCCTTGCTCTTGCTATTTTCCCTTTCCTTTTCCTTCCCCAGTGTGATTTTTGACCTTTTCGAACGCAAAAAGCCTTCCTTTTGGCCCCTTTCCACTCAAATGGCTGCAAATTTTGCCAAGTTTGTTTTCAAAAATCCTACTAGATGTATATTTCTCTAAATGATAAAGCACTGAGACAAAACCGGGCACTTCTTGTCAAATAATGAGAACTCCTAGGATTGCTAAATGTCAGATTTACTGGCACAGGCAGGAAGACGCCACTAAAGGATAACAAGAGACAATAAAGGGACAAAGAGGGAATGTTAAGGTGTTGGCCGGGATACGTGAATTTTACTTACGTTATTTTTAGAGGTTGTAATTTAACGAAAGTCTAATTCCTTGGACGCCCGCACATTTTAAATCGATTGTTTGAAACGTCCACGCGCGACTTGCCTCAAAACAAACAATGTAGAATATTGAAATTGCAACAAACCAAGAGAGCATAATGTCCCATAAATCTCTCGTGACAATACTCGATAAAAGTTTTCGGACCTCTCCGGAAACCAACTTCAGATTAATTTCAAGCGTTTGATTGGTCTAAAAATAACGTTAATGAAGTTCACACATCCCAAGGGCTCCACTGGGCAATTCCCTCTTCGTCCCATTATTCTCTCCTGAGGATATACAGTATATATATTTTCTTTTTTAGAACTTCTGACAACATGTAGTCGAGAAAACGCTCAATAAAGTAATCCTGACAAATTTCATTTTGCTTCATTTGCAACTATTTTTTTTGTTACTTTAACTTATAGGACAAATCTAAAAATTCTGATCACTTTCCACGTTCTTTCACAAGAGGCGTGATGGAGGGAATTTGGTGGTCCTTCGTAAGCATGACCACAGTTGGGTAAGAATAGTTAAGCTCGATGCCTGCTTCATTTAAGTCGTGTAAGTTCTCGACTGTCGCTAAAAGAAATGACCAACTGCTTGTCTAGTATAAATCCAGCTTAATGGTTTGCACGCATGCCGAAACTCAAATGCTTTAAATTTGATTATTTTAAGTATAGACTACGAGTAGTCCATTGTTTTCCTTAGGAATGATAAACCGAACGAACCTGAACTAAATACGAAAGGGGAAGGTGAAAATTGTCAACAACGATGAAAAGCTGAACAGTAATCAGGTTTTAGCTGAAATATTTTTTTCACATGTCACGGAACTTAAAAGAGCGAATAAGTGTACCCGGTTATTTATTTAGTTGTTTCAGTTTTTCGTTACGATAGAGATCCATTCTTCACGAGACGTTTGGAAATATTTATTAAAACTGGTATATTTAACTTTTGATCTATGAGAGTTTTTTCTCTGGATATTAGGTATGGTGACAGGACTCCAAAGTCACCAGCTGCACGTTTGTTTGGCATCCTGTGGATTATTACTGGCCTTATTCTTTGCTCATTTTTCACCGCTACTTTCACAAGTGCCTTGACGTCATCATCCATGCTACATCGTAAATCTCTGTTGGGAGTGAAGGTTAGCACCATCATCGTCTTCATCATCATTTCTCTTCGCACCAGAAAATGCAAAGCGCCGTTAGGTTAATAGTTAGCGGAGCAAGTTAGGTTACATAAAGAAATAATATCTGTAGTCTTGGAACCATATGTAATTAGACTCGAAATTCCTAAAAGGCTGAGACTGAAAAAATCAAGGTATTAAACAGGATTCAATTCGAAGCCATGAAGTTTGTGTTAACTCAGTGGATTAACAATGCATGCTTTAACCTCCATACAATGTCGCGGAAACTGATTAACTTTACTTCATTCCTAAACAGATAAAAGGTTATTCTTCTTTATTTACATACGACGAACTGCACAACTCTCACACCCTTGCGGCAACGAATATATCTCAGGAGGGTTCATTGATGTCAACAAAACAACAAAGAAATATACTGGAGTAAATGTGCGTAAATCATCAGAAATGATAGAACTGTTAATCATCGGGAAGCTATCTAGAGGACACCCCTTACCGTCCCCTATATCTCACTAGGCTCACTTGAGTTCAATAATGTTAAGACACTAAGCTAACTTTTGAAGCTCACCCAGGTTGCAGTTTTGGAAGACAGTCATGCGTACGACGAGGCTTTGAAGCAGGCTGCCAACGTCAAAGGTACGTTTTCAAATTCTGACACCATTTGAAGTCGTCTGAGTAGAGACGTTGCTATATCCGGGCGTGAATGAAAAGGTAATCATCAAGTCGTTTTAACTTCTCATTCTTACAAAATAATCAGTCCAACTAAGAGGGTTGGGAAAAAAAATCAATCATCATTTTGCAAAACGCAAAAGTTCTTGCCCTCGGAGGTTTCATTTGAATGGTAACACCATAGATTTTGTCCATGATGCAGTACTAAGTTAAAGTGAAAATAACCTCACATTGCTCAGCCTAGGATGCCAAGGGGTATACCTATTCGTCGCTTCACACATTTTTGCCGCATACCTTATCCTTTTCACCCTTTTAATAGACTTAGCAGCATTCCTTTTCACTTGGCTTCCTAAGTAAGCTTTGTCTATCCTAACGGTCCAATGCAGTATAAATTAAAAAGAAACTGCTCTGAAAGTTCAATCTGCACTTTTTTCAGATGAGGTAGATAACGAATACGTGGTTGTTCTATTCAGTCAAGGAGTGGCTTCGGCTTCTCTCGAAGCTATTTAGTTACTTTAGATAAAAATAAAACCACGTTTGATTCATTTTTCCATAAGTATTCGTCTGAATCAAGAGCCATTATGGCTCTTGTCTTAATAAAAAGGTATTGACATTTTTGGCGTCGGTTCCAGCCCTCGAACGTTTACAGTGATGTCGGCTGTTGCGCCTTGTTTGCGGACTTAGTATTACACCTGTCTTACGCTTCAGCCACATCGTAGCTTACCGTTTTTACTCGAAAGAACGCTTTCAAGTGGGGAGGGATTTACAGCACATTTATGGTATTTTTCTTTGGAATGCGACTTCAAGAGGCTGTGACATGGTTGTCTAAGTCATTTTTTTTTGATAACGCTAATGACGCCAGTTTCTTATTTGCTATGAGAAATTAGTTGTGAATGGCCAAATTACAGCTTCGTGTCAAACAATATATTATATCAAAGGTTACAGATGACAAAAGTGAACTTTGAAAACCTGTAAGGCTACTAACAAGTTTCAAACAACCTCAATAGAGAGAAGCCGTTACGTGTGTTGCCATGGTAGCAAAACTCCTGGGCTGAGTTGCTCGAAGCATGGTCAGCGTTAACCATTGGTTAAGCAGTATCAAAACCAATACGTTGTCATGGTATTAAACGCTGGTTAACGCTAACCATGCTTCGAGCAACTGGGCCCTGAATGATAACAAACCGAAAACATCACTTAAGAAAGTGAATTGGGACTGTTTCAAACTTCATCGATCTCATTCAATTTTATTTAATTTGTCAAATGTCTGGGATATTCTGGTCTGGGGTTGAATCCAAAAGGACCGTAATTGGTAGAAAAAGAAAAAGGAAAATTTTGCGCTGTGTTCACCAACTCCATAAAGCGGGCGCGTGAAATTAGAAAGTTTCCTGTCGCATTCGTGCAACGACGGCCAAGAATGTACAAAAAAGCGTACTGCACGTATAAAGTTGTTGTTTTGCTAATCTAAACCGGTTGCTTCTTTGTCGTTCTCGTTGCCGTCGCCGTCGTCAGTGCTTAAGCTCCCCATTGTTGTGATCTAGAAATTTTGCAACCATGGCAACGTTACGTCACACTTCCCCTCTCTATTGCAATTCGTGTCAATCTTCTTCACGTTTGTCCAATCGTGTCTCCTTTTGTGCTCGCTGTGTAATTTATACCTTCTTTTCTCTGTGGGTTTCAGTCAGTTTGGTGGCGGCTATCACTGTCTGAATCCTGATAACTTTCGTGACACAGCCGGACTTTAACTGACGAACGCTTTATTTCCTGTGCTGCAGATTATCCCAATTTCCACGAAATGTACAATGCACTAGTGGTAAAAGAAGAAGTAGATGGAATCTTAGCGGACATCTACACAGCCTCTTACTACATGGATAAAGTCGAAGACTCTCGCTTGGCAGTGACCATGTTCCTTAGTTCTCAGCGGTCAATTGGATTTGCACTTGAAAAAGAAGAATTTGAGAACCAAACTAATTGCCTAAGGAATCTGTTTAAATATCGACAGCGAGACATCAAGAAAATTATTTTTCGACATACACAAGCATTACATGTAAGTTGATTTATTAACCTTGATTAAAATAAGTGGGCTACTCTAAGACGTTTGCCTGTAGTATTTACGAGGAATTCTTTCGTAAACTCTGTAACTTATTAGTTGTTAGATAGAAGGAACAGCAATTCCCGCGGCCTTGCTGATTCCTGATTTGAGGTGTTACGGCAAAATTTGTCGATTAAAATCTTGACAAGATAAATCAAACAGTTTTGGGCATTCATATCTTCTCATTCTGACTTTGTATTTCTTGGTACAGCTGCCTCGTTTGCAGCTAAAAAATCGTCTTCCGAGGCTGACACAAAACGGGGCGACAAATTGCCTGCCATCCGAAAACAAGAAGAAGAGGAAGAAGAAGAAGAAGAAGAGCAGGAATAATTTGCTCCTGCATGCAGATACTGAAGAGTAGATCTTTTAGGTTAAAGTCGTTTTAAAAAATCTGAGAACAACCTTTAATTGTTTAGGGCCATAAAGGGTGGTATCCACCTCCCTTAATACGTGATAACTGTCATACTTTTGTGTTGGTCACGTTCAAGGCAAATAGAAGCAAAATAAAAGGCCTGGGGTGAGGGTGGAAAAGAGAAGGCTGCGGAAACACACTACCACACGGACAGCCGTCTTTGCATCCACTGAATTCTTTCAAAATACGGTGTTTAGAAGCTTTACGACTTGCGAGTAGTAATTTAAGTTTAAGAGAAAGAAATTAAACAGATTGCTTTTCACTTTAATATACGTACGTTACCATCTGAACTTCCTTTTAGACCGAAACCAGGAGCCGCCAGATATCAGACAAAGACGCAGACCGTGTTTTGACTTTACTGGATGGAAACTCGCCTGGAGTTTGGATTGCACTTCCCGCAATGTCGACAACCTTTATCATGCTGTTGACCGCGGGTTTCGTTTACGAGACGTGTGCTGCAAAGTGTAGGAAGAAGAGGCTAAGAAGTAAGTGTAGTGGGTTTCATCAAACCACCACCCAGGCCTCTGGAGACTCTCACAGGCAAATATTCAGTCACGTGACAACTTATGAAATGCATCAGTTACCTCAATAACGAGCGCATAGAGGAGATTTTTCTTCTCCCGTCTCGACGTTCCCTTCGTGCTGTCTTTTCTAGGGAACCTCTTTGGAGGGAGGTATAAGGGAGCGTTTCTACTTGGATTTTAATCAATTAGGAACTTAAGCAACCACGACAAGGACGGCAGTAGGAACGTCGACTTTTTATGGAGGACGACGTGAACGCACGACGACGAATTTTTTTCTCCCTCGGTCTTTATTTCTGAAGATGGCAGCATTTTTTTACGAGATGCTAAAAAAACAAGATAAAATTTGAGAGGACACAAATTCGGCGTATTTAGCGAAGTTTTTTACTGCCATCGTCCTCCTGATTGCTTTAAGCTCCCTAATGCACATGTCATTGGCTTGCCTCGGGGGTAGACCCCCTGGCCAACCAGGGGGATTGTAAAATGGGTGGAGCAAAGTTGAAGATTTCCCCCATGGGTGATGAAATTTAATAAGACAAAGTCCCCTGGGTCAAGTGCTTCTCAACGAAAAATCCCCCTGATATCCACCTCAGACAACTGGGATTTACTTGACGTAGGGGGCGTTTTATGATATTTGGGGATGAAATTTTACTCTTTCGTGTTAGCCTTGGAGAAGAAACATAATATCTTTATTGAACAAAACTCACTACAAAATACAATGAAAGAACACCTAAAGACAAATTCACCGACATTGGGAGACACTGATAGGTTTTCCATAGACTACTTAAGATGACCTGAAATAATCTACCTCATGATGCTCAAAAATTACAGTTATTCATTGTATTTCATTTACGTATGAATTTTTTAATAAAGTCTACGAGTCCTCAGCTTCTACATTCGTAATAAGAATGATCAGTGAGAGGTTTAAGAGATCTGAACATATATTGACCCGGTTGTTTTGCCGCATAACAAATGAACGGAAAAACGAATGGATGCGTGATTGTCGTTTTTAGGAGTCAGTTAAGGTGATCGTATGCAAATTGCCAAGTTTTAGTTTGCTTTTAACCACTTCGTTGATTTTGTGACTGTTGCGAGATTGAAGGAATTTTCGCGCGGACTAGAATGTTCTTGAGAGATTTTTCCTTCCTGTAGGAGACAATCGATGACTCGGTTAAAGATATGTTTAAGCTTAGGTTACCGTTGAACGATGTCCAGTGTTTCATAAGAATCCTTTTGAGATTGGGTGTGGCCGGATTGTAGGTATTGTAGGTACTTGTAAGAAACAGTAAAATCTATTTTGTTTGTTTTGTTTTGTTACGAAGAGCGTCGTTTCTGTCGGTGAACTTGATACAGTCAGTATTTCTTGAACGAGCGTTAAAGTTTAACCTCGTTCAAAGTGTCGTTTGTTTTGTTCAACGTTTTCTCTCACTGAGTAAGGGCTGATCACATGGAGGTAGGTGACCCCCAGGTAGGTAAGGTAACCCGCTTAGGTGGGGTAACCCTGCTGTCCATACAATCTCTCATATGGTCACCCCACCTATCATGTAAACGTGATCAAATTAAAATAAGAGATTCTAGAGACGGGAGGGGTAACCCCACCTAAGTGGGTTACCTCACCTACCCGGGGTCCTCCACCTCCATGTAAACAGGCCCTTAGTTCTAAAAGACGTAATGCTTCTCCTTTTATAAAACCCTTTTTGAGATAAATCCCCGTGACATCCCTTTGGTTACCATCCGCGATTTTACAAAATTTGCAATTCCCCCACCCTCTTCCCGAACTTAAAACAACATCGTGAATTTTCCCCTCCCCAAGGGCGTTCATCCAATCCATCCCCTTGTATTCCCCGACATATTCCCCTGGTTGGTCCGAGGGTCTACCCCCGGGGAAAGCCGATGACATGTGCATAATAAAACTTCATCAAATGCACTCTTAATCCTCTCCTATTAAATTAAGAAAAGTTAATCTAGCAAGAAGGGTAAATTTTGATTGACAGTAAGTCTTTCATGTCTCATATCACAGAATTTTGTAAATATAGAATTTTTAGCCACAGTAGAGCAGGTTTGACTCCGATATGACATTTTATTCACTTCACCATTGCGGAGTACATAAATCTAATTTAGTGGTTAGTTGTGATACAGTGAAACCTGTATTAAGCGGACACCGTATTAAGCGGACACCCTCTATTAAGCGGACAGTAGCCGAAGTCCCCGAATTTATTTCCCTTATTTACTTTAAATGAAACCTGTATTAAGCGGACACCTCTATAATTCCACCGCCCAACATGTCAGACACCGGAAATGCAAAAGATTGCCTCGAATTGCCACCCACAATTTTTTTTATTTTTACATAAAAAAAAAACGTGACTTGATTAGTTTCACAGCACAGTATTGTTTTCTATTTCGTTTTGTTTGTATAGAGCTTGTTTCACTCATCTGAATTCTTCAAATTTGAGTTGCAATCTATGTTTATGGTACTACAATCAATTGGTCCACTTTGACAAAGAAATTAATGCAAACGAATATCATCATTGTCTGTCGTGGATTATTCTGAACGTTTTCATTGTTCACGAATGGCATTTGACACCTCATATGACGTTATCTATCGAAACCTGTATTAGGCGGACACCCTGTATTAAGCGGACACCACAGCATTCCCCGAGGGTGTCCGCTTAATACAGGTTTCACTGTATATCAAAATATTCTGTAGATACATTTATTATTATTATTATTATTATTATTATTATTATTATTATTATTATTGTTATTCACCTGGTTAGGAGAAGATGAGGTTGTCATGTCAGTCATTTCACTGTTGCGGAGAACAAAAGCCTAATTAAGTAGTTTGGCGGCATTTTTTGTCTCACTGCGAAAAAGCAGTTTGATATGGCATATCACACACCGCTTTACCATTGCGGAGTAGAAAAGTCTAAGAATAAATGTTCTTTTTAATTCTACAGCTCCCAAGGGAAGTATCATTGATTCAGGCAACGTACTTGGAAATGGCGTTCTCCACCTTGAAGCCAAAGCGCTAACGCAACACTAGGTCCATCTAGGAGAACTCTTTTTAGCTTTTGACTAGGTACTGAAATCGCACTCGGTCCTTAGATTGTATGCCCTTAGCGCTCTGGAGTTATAGAACAAACACACCGATTCAAGATAAACTGCCACCGGCGCACGGTCAGTAATAGATGCAGACTGTAGACTGGGTACAAATTGCAGACTAGGTACAAAATGCAGAATGCAGACTGCGGACTAAGTACAAAACGCAGACTGCGAAGAAGAACAGTTTTCTTTTTTTTATTCTCGCCAAAAAAGCAACTTACGTACTTTATTACATGAAGTTTTAGCGACACGTTAATTTCACGAATTTCGCGATACAAAACAAATCGCGAACATAACATGACGCGACTCACATTATGTCCATAATCAAGAAAGAACGAGTTTATTACCACTGAAACGTTTACAAATCATAGTTTTTACTTTTATGATTAATTTTCAGTGTAAATGAATGTTGTGGTCAATTGATAATTAACGTAATAATAACTGATAATTAATAATTGATAATTGATAATTAACGCGTACAAGCATGAACTGCTTATGGACATTGTGAGAACTGCTTGGTTTTTCTTGATTTTGAGGTTATTGTTCCATGACATGACAAGATATGTTAAATAACATTGCCTATGAAATGTAAATTGTTGTACTCAAAAACGCGAATTTAAAGTGATTCAAAATATAAAATTTTCGAAAAATCGCGAAATTTAAGGGTCGCGAAATATGCGCACATCAAAATCGCGAAATAGACATGTCGCGAAAATTTCATGTAATAAGGTATACTGTCACGCAATCGCCGTTCCAAGGTCATCTTCCACGGAAAATCAGGAAACATGTTCTTGTTCTTAGTCTTTTTTTCACATTTTAGCCCTTTTTTTTGGCCCGTTTCAAAAAGAAAAATTCCAGAAACTATGGCCTTGGAACGGCGATAGCGTGACAATACGTAAGTTATTATATTGGGGTTTTCGCATGACGTCATCAAAATTCAAACTAAGAAACTATCAATTCTTCTGAGTTTCTACTTTCATGAGGTATTATAGCACTAAACACAAATTTTCGGTTCCAAAGGGTTCTTCGTTTTGCGATAGAAGACGCGTGGATTTCCAGGCCTTTGCGTGACGCAGTATTTAGCTGGCGTCGGGGATAGCTCTCAAGTGTGGGTTAAAAACGCTACTGATTTTTTTGAGATTTTGCTATCTAAACATTCCCTGTCTTAGAATAAATATTACTTTACTCTTTATGAGTTCCTCAAGCGATGAATTCACGCATTAGTAGGAAAACTAAAAAAACATAGGTTTCCATTGGTTTCCGGTGGCCATATTTGTGCCCCTCAAAGGGACATCAACATGGCGTCTCTATACAAAGCCTTATAAATTTGGGGAAAACGTTTTCCCTAATATCTCGTATAGGAATTATCGCACAGACATGATTATTGGCGAGGCTTTTGGTATATTTATCTTCTTTCATTTCCCAGATTCTGGACTTTCTGTATTGACTGGTTTACATTTTTATGTTTTGATTACGTGACAGTGAAAACACAGAATTGGTGAGAAAAAAAAAAAAAAAAGCTATCTAAACATTCCCTGTCTTAGAATAAATATTACTTTACTCTTTATGAGTTCCTTAAGCGATGAATTCACGCATTAGTAGGAAAACTAAAAAAACATAGGTTTCCGTTGGTTTCCGGCGGCCATATTTGTGCCCCTCAAAGGGACATCAACATGGCGTCTCCATACAAAGCCTTATAAATTTAGGTAAAACGTTTTCCCTAATATCTCGTATAGGAATTATCGCACAGACATGATTATTGGCGAGGCTTTTTGTATATTTATCTTCTTTCATTTCCCAGATTCTGGACTTTCTGTATTGACTGGTTTGCATTTTTATGTTTTGATGACGTGACAGTGAAAACACAGAATTGGTGAGAAAAAAAAAAAAGAAAACTGTTTTTCTTCTCAGTCTGCGTTTTGTACTTAGTCTGCAATCTGCATTCTGTGTTTTGTACCTAGTCAACATT